TATGCCACTGGCTGGCCCAAGGCTGCTTCTTTCTCTTTTGAGTATGTGCATCCAAAATTATAAACTTATGCATAAAATGAGTAAACTTTAAAAAAAAAATTGACCACAGGATTGAAAGGGTAGAGGTCACTGGAGCCCTCACAAGACTGATTCTATTTGAGGATAGAGTCTGGAGAGGGATTCTCTCCATAACCGAGATCCTGAATTATTTCTGTTTCTTGTCTCTGAGACAGCTGAGGTCCTGAGTAGTCTTTTGCTCCAGGCTGTTCCTGTTGCTACGAGGGTGACAACAACGATCTCTCCTGCACGGTCAGGCAGTGTGGGAAGGAAGCTGCCTGTGGTGGGAAGGAAGCCAAGGGGCTCCAAGGTCCAGTGACTCTGAAAACGAACTGGAATCCTCAGTGATGGGGAAGAAAACAAAGCCATTCGATAGTCCAAAGCTTCAGTGACCATGGGGTCCAGGGTTCCAAGGACATCTCTCAGGTATACTTCATTTTACATTGTAAAGTTCAGAAACAGATTTCATTTGATAGAAGATTCTGTGCTTTAAAATAAATCTTGCACTCCACTAATCTAGTACAGAGGCTGTGCATGGGATTGTGGCTTCTACCCATCACCCCACATGAAAAGGAGCCAGAACACCTTGGAGCAATGGCTGATGCCAGGTTTGGGCCAGGGAAGGTACAAGGTTAAACTGAGACTGTTTGTGACAGGAAGCAAGGACGGGGATGTTAAGGAACACTGAGCCAGCTTGAAGGGGCTCTCAATGGCCGAATCTGGGAAAGTCCGGGCCTCAAAAAGAATGACCATGGTTAATTATAAACAATGAATAAAAATTATTACAGTGACACTGAGAAATTCAATAAAGTGAAGAGGAAAAACTGTCATCGTTTGAAAGGATTCTTATGCCAATTTCTTACTCTGATTATTGGCGATTGAAGAGATAAAATGAACATTTACCCTGTTTTTTTGAGAAGAAACTATAATTCAGTATCAACTGATGGAAAACTCTTAAAAAAGAAAGTCTATTGAGAAATGAAGAAGGACCTATAGAAATTGGAAAACCACTACTGTGCATCCCAAATACTGAGTAAAGAAATGATCATCCATGGATGCTAAAACCATGAGGTGAAAGTTTGTTATGGACCAGGATATTCTCATATAACAAAGTATCACCCCACAGACCACTGGAGAGAAAAAAATGTATGTATCTTTAGGGATGGCGTAATGATTACGTTGCTGGACTCCCATCTGGCCGACTGCAGTTCAAGTCCTGAATCTGGCAGCTTGAAACACATACTAGGCACTTGTGCATACATGCCCAAAATCCTGAGAGGAGAATGGAGAAGGGATTGAACATGGCCACCCCCCCCATGGGAGGTGGTTTCTCGCTTTGTCTCTCTGTCTCTCTGCTGAGTGATGTGCCCTATAAAAAGATAATAAAGTGATGATTAGAAGAAACAGAGAGGTCAGAGGACCTGTAGCAGGGCAGCTTAGGGTTTAGAAGAACTGCAGCCATTTTGAAATTAAGAAAGGCCTTTAACAAGAACAATCTGACCAAGTGCTGAGTCATAGGGAGATCTGTTTCAGGAAGGGGCAGATGAGAAACCAGGAATGAGTATTTGAGGGAATTGGGATAATTACTCAGGGGAAAGCAGTTGCCTCTGATTAATTATAGTGAGGAATGATTTGCACATGCTTGTATCTGGTACCTATAAATATTGAGGACATGAGCTTTTTAAGGCTCTTCGATGGAGCTTGCTGACTGTCATTCTGTAACTGGTTACAGACTTAAACTCCCTTCTCCAGTCTCTACCTGTTGTTTCACTGACCATGAGAAGCAGCAGTTAGACTTATTAATAGTTGGCTGGTAACAATTGAACTTAGCCCTAGCAGTGGGACAACCAGACATCTTGGGGCTTCTGATATGTTGTCAGATAAAACTTAATTACCTATGAAGTCAGCTTGTTAAAAATGTTTAAGTGGAATCTACTCCTTGAAATTTACTTTCCAATTTATAAGAAATATATGTGAGATAGAAGAACAAGGGACCAGCAGATGGCATAATGGTTACATCGCTAGACTCCCACATAGTTGACCATAGTTCAAGTCCCTGATCCAGTGGCTTGAAACTCCTACCCGGCACGTGTGGATGCCTTCCCCAAGAGGAGAATGGAGAAGGGATTTCAGCATGGCCATCCCCCACTTGGGGGTGACTGCTTGCTTTCTGTCTTTCTCTCTGTCTCTCCAGTGAGTGCATGCACCATATAGTAAAAATCTCTCAAAAAATAAATTTTAAAAAATCAAAATGATGCCATAGGGAAGCAATCAGACAAATGCAGAATATAGGATACTCCAGAAGAAACCAGGTCAATGTCTTCAAAATTCAGTGTCATGAATAAAAATGACAACTTTTTAGTTTTAAAAATTTATGCATGCATGCTATAGGGTGTGTATGCTCACTAGAGAGACACACAGAGAAACAGTAAGAGAAAGTGAGAAAGCACCCTTGGGGGTCAGGGAAGGGATGGCCATGCTGCAAATTCCTCTTCATTATCTTCTCAGAATTTTGGGTGGGCACTCATGCATGTGCGCCCTGCACGCTTCCCAAGCTACTGGGTCCAGGATTTTTTTTTTTTTTTTTTTGAGGATCATGAGCCGATCTTTATTATCTCTTTATTTCTTGCATTTGAAGTACTCAATGACATCCTTGGCCTGAGATTCCTTGTCATAGCCCTTAACTACTACACAGCTGCAACCAATCACTTTACGGAGTTTCCCCTCTTTGTCAATTTTACAGAGGCCTACCCATTCTCCTACTTCCTTGTTGTCTTCAACCTTAATCAGGTTGATTTGATGTTCGGCACAAAGGGCTCCCACCAACTTGACATACATAGGTTCATCACGGTTGGATGCAAGCACATACAGGTGGGCTTGGCGCTTGTCTAAGGCTTTGGCGGCTTTGCGAGTTCTATGTGCTAGGCCATCGTGGATGAGGGCGGTCTTCAGCACCTCTTGTAAAGCAGTATTAATGTTCATTACACCTCCAGCAGCAATGCCTTCCTCGGCCATAACAATGGATTACAGGTGGGGCCGAATCTTGAGCGCACCTGAGTCTCTGCGTGACTCGGCCGCAGCAGCAGGGTTTTCTGGTTCAGGATTTGAACTGTGCAGTTGGCTGTTTGGGATCCAGCTGCCCCAACTACCATGCTAGCAGCTGGCCAGAGAACTTTTATTTTAAATTGAAAAGAGATAGACTTATAATAATAACTTATGAGCCTTGCTAGGATATTTTCAAGAAATCATCTATAAAAGACCATTTGAATATGGACTAGATATTAGAAAACTATCACTGAATTTTTTGGGAATGAAAATAGTATTGTAACTGTCATCTTAATACTAGAGATACATGTGAATACATTTAGGAATGAAAAGTCCTGAGGTCTGTAACTTACACATAGCTAAGCAAAACCCTATTATTTTTTTTATATATGAAGGGTCTTCAAAAAGATTGTGGAAAATGGAATTAAAGTATGAGTTTAGTGCAAAAATTTTAATGAGTTTTACAATACATATTTCTATGAACTTGTATGTGTACATAGAATTAACATTTGCTGAATTGGGTATATGCTTGTTATACTTTTAACTTTTTGATGTTTGAAATATTTCGTTGTAGAAAATTGAGGGGAAAATACTGTAGAGCCTCAGCGCCTCACCCCCTAGTATCTGGATCTTTTAAAAGATCACAAGTGATTTTGATGCATACTCAGGGATGAGTCATTACTCCAATGCCCACACTGAGCCTGAAATTGAGACCTGAAAAGTAGAAGTGACTTTCCAAAAGATAGAACAAAGACTAGAATTCATGTTCTTTGGCTTCTTGTTCTATGTTCTTTTCTTTCCCTATAAATCCTCTAAAGAACTATTTGTTGGAGAGGTTTTTGCTATAGGGTGTGTGTGCTTGCCAGAAAGACAGAGACAAAGCGAGAACGCCGCAATCCCTTCTTCCTTCTCTCAGGATCTTGGGCACATGTGGCCAGAGTGAGTTTAAGCCACCGGGTCCAGGACTCGAAGTGCAGTCGACTACATGGGAGTCCAGCAACATAGCCATTATGCCAACTGCTGGTCCCTGGAACACTCTTTTCTTTGAAATAATTTTATTGCTTTCAGTGAGGACAGTCCATGAGGTTGAATCTTATTGCACACGTCTGTGAAACAATATATAAATAAAAATCACAAATTAGAAAAAAATCCGGAAGTGCTAATTGGGAAATGGGGCTACTGATATCCCTGGGGTTGGAGGAACCCAGGCTCCTTGCAGATAAATGAAGTATTAAGGATGTTCTAGTATCTAGCGGGAAGACCTGGGTTTTTGGAGTCAAACAAGATCCGAGTTAAAGTTCTGACTCTGCCACTTAATGGCTTTGTGATATTAGGCAAGCTATGTGATTACTCCTAAATCCAGTTATGCAGCCCCTCTCATTAGGCACTGTGCTAGAGGTCTGGATGCAGAAGGTAATGAGATGCACAGGGTCCAGCACTCCTGGAGATCCAACAGATGATAACGGGGTGGCGGAATACTCAGGTGGGGTTCCTCACTCCGAAGGAACCGAGAGTAGGCCCTAACCAGGGAGGATGGAATTGAGTCAGGGGAGGTTTTCCAAAAGAAAGCAACATTTTAAGGAATTACGTGAGGGCCTGATAGTCTGTAGCTGCTGAGGTACGCCTGCACTTCCCGAGGCTCTAACACAGGTGGTGGCCATCCTTTAATGAGAGAAGAATGGAAAGTCCCTAACTCTGAGCAAGAGGTAGGAATCGGGGCCTGGGGCGCGAGCCCTCAGCACTAACAAAGTCCCTTTTCAGATGGAAGATAAATCCAACTTCTGTAACAAAAGCAAAACGGCTTCGCGGTAAAAAACAAAAACAAAACAGTGAAAGTACAAGGCTATACGCAGGTTCCAGGGGGCGTGGCCTCAAGCACCTCTCAGCCGTCGTCTTCCGGCCCGTGCCCCGGAAGTTGTTTGGGGGGCGGGGCCTTTAGGCCGGTTACCGAGACTGCACGGGTGCGGCCGCCATGTTCCTCTCCGCGGTCTCCTGTAAGTGGGGCTGAAGGCTGCGGCAGAGTTTGCGGCGAGGGCGGGGGCCGGGACAGGCAGGGCTCGGGATGCGGC